TATTTATAACTAGTTTAGCTAGTTCCAGAGTAGATAACTAGCTAAGTGTGTTAGGTATAACTCTAAGTGTATTTTTGCTCGGCTCAACGGTCCGTCACAGCGGCGGAGCTGTGATCATGCAGAGCTGCATGTTCTCCGTCAGCAGCAGCTGATCTGATCTCTGATCTCTCTCTCGCGTCCGGTTAGACTTCACTCGCGTCTATGTCCAAATCTATCAGATCTAGCTAGTTCTAGTTAATTATAAAACTGCCTGCTTATCAAAGGACACCTAAACAATAAGCGTTGCTTGGCAACGGCGTGTGGCCGCAAAGTATAGCGCAGCATTATGCATATGTTTATATGAGGGGTCAAAATCCCATGCTCATAAAATGCTATTATATTTTTTCTCTTCATTCCCCACGCCCCAAAATAAATAAATAAATAAACCAATTTTAGGAAAAGTAACAAAGTTTGAGCAGAGTGGGTTTTATATTAACAGAGTTACACATATTTCAAAACGCGAAGTGTAACTGCAGTTAGCCTCCCTGTCAGAATGACAAAGCTCCTCAGTGAAGCACAAGCCCATGTTTCACTAAATTGTAAGAACAACTTATTCAAAAGATCAGTTCAATGCAACTAATGTCGTCTCAGTGTTATTGCATGATGTTAAAATTGGTTTGCCATGAATTTAGTGATGGATTGTAAACATTTGAAATGTAGCATTTAAGTGTTTCTCAGTTAGAAGGTTGATGTTTTAATAAATCAGACACTGATGGTGCAGCGCTGCAGTGTACCTCTTTATATAGGCTTTTTTCCCTTAACAAATAGTTTTTGCGCTGATCAGGGTACTTGGCTGCATTTTTTTTTCAAACGGGGTACATGAGTGAAAAAAGTTTGAGAACCACTGCTTTAGAGAGCTGATATCAATCATCATCTTTTCACCAAATGACAGACTTTATAAAACCCATAAAGAACAACCAAACCAAGCTGTTTGTGCTTAAATGAACAACTCCAACATTTGGTTTATGATTGGAAAAGTCACACGATCTGCAGGTATTTCCCTGGACAGGAAATGTTGCTGTGCTCCGAAGTGTATTAATCATGGAGCTACAGGTTTGACATGCATAGCCCTAAAAGAAAAAGGGTAGAGCAAATATAAATATTGTTTATTTCAAAGTGAGCACATCATTCTAGGGCTGCTCAATTAATCGTATTTTAATCGCAATTACGATTTTGGCTTGCAACGATTTAGAAAACAACATAATCTAATTAAAAAGTCTTTTTTTGTTGTTGTTGTGGTTTTTCAGTTGAATTATACTTAAAATTCAGGGTAATCAACTGTTAAAAACATACTGTTCAAATGTTCTTTTTCAATAAATGGATGTTTTCAAAATAAATTGATAATCGTTTTTAATAATCGTGATATCAATTATTGACCCAAATAATCGAGATTATGATTTTTTCCATAATCGAGCAGTCCTGCATCATTCCAGTTAATACAGCTGAAGATACGCTGGAGAGGGGGGGGGGGGGGGGGGGGGGGGGGGGGGGGTCAACATGAAGAACACACTAGAACTCAATCTTAGCACATGGAGCACTTTGATCTCCTTGGAAATGGAATTGGATTTCTGAGAATAAAGTTCACTCTTGATATTGTTCTTTATTTTTATGAAAGCATTTCATCAACTCTAAACGATGAAGAATAATGAAATTGCTTATAGTGGTGGCACGCTCAGCCAGAAACAAAAGCAATCCAGAGGTCAGGCATACATCATCGTCTCAATCCTCTTAAAGTCACTATTTATTTATGAACAGAAGCCCAGTCGCCCCCCATTGCATTAAGCACAGAACTAAAACAATGAAGCACACATGCCTTGGTTTTTTTCTTCATTTATATTCAATTTGAGCTCTCTTAATAGTAATTAGTTGTGTCAATGTAATGCATTGTTGAAGCAGTGGATTCTTCATCAGATATAGAACAACCACACGCTGCATTTATCATTTAGTTCAGCATTTCACTTCAAACATTGTCGTATAAAATGGTTGCTGAGCTAAGGATATACAAACTTGCTGAACACTCAAACCTCTCAAATGAAAGAGACGCTACAGAACATAGTGCTGCCAGGGAGGGTTTTAATGCTGGCATTTCCCGAAAGCGGATTCTAAAGGCCTTTTCAATATGTTGAAATAAATGGCAAAAATCACCTCATAAATCCCACCCTTTGTGTATGGAGAGGGCATCATTATATGATGTATGGCTCAGCTGCAAGTGTGCAGCACAGCACGGAACAGCACTGATGGGCTGTCCTTGTCATTCACTACCTAATATGGATAATTACTCTAAATTCATGGAGTGCTTGATTCCACTGACAGCTACGCCAAATGTTTGACGAAGACACAACAGTAGCAGCAGCATCAGTCACAGGCGAGCGGAAATGCATTTAGTGGAGGGCCTCATCATGTTTTATTCAATCACAGAGCAATGCTCAATTAATCAGTTTCTGCAATTAAATTAAACATGTACATGCATAAAACATGAAAGAAATATCAGGGGTGTTTAAGCACTGCTTGGTTCTCTGGGCTGCTGCAACAATAGAGGATGTCTTGTCAGTCTAACACACCAGCCTCTGTGACTTTAGTTATGGGGAATGATTTCTTTCCCCCCATATCAGGAGCTGCGTGTGACAGAATGTGTTCAATCTCATCTTAGTATGTGATCCCTGATGCATACCACCATCCAATGCATTTCTATAAATGTCAAGAGCTGTGTGTTTACTAGATCTGCCTGACCCCTAATATGTATTCAGCTCAGCAGCACCCTGCCCAATCTTTCCTTATTGCTTCATCGCAGGAGGAGGCTCTGGTGTGTCAGCTCTCATTGGCTGCAGTTGGCCACATCTCCTGGCACATGTAATATTGCTTTTCGCTTTCCATCAAGTGCAGGCAATGCCAGTGCTCAGATAAATAGTGACATTTTGCAGTGGTGAGGTGGTTTGTTTGTGCCTCTAGTGCCTGACTCATTTCCATGACCTGATTTGTATACATAGCACCACGTTTGGCTTGATCAAAGGTCTTACATGTTAGACACAAATCCATTTGGATTCAAACTACTGCCAAAATAATTTATACCTCTGTGTTTATATAACAGCTTTGAGATATATGTTGACATGAATAACATATTGAATAGTTTAACTTCATTTTTTTACAAACTGATTTTTCAAGTAGAATTATAAAAGGGCCTTCATACTTTCTGAAAACCTAAATAAGCATATATGTTATGTTATATTATTTTATGTTATGAAAGGGTTAGTATGAACATTCATTCTCGCATTTCAAATAATTAAAAGATAAACAATGCTATTATGAACTTTGATGAAGGTGATAGGTTTGTCCTTTAATCCATGTTACTGTAATATGTCCCCTCCTGAAGATGGAAAGGTGTTGGAGTATTAAAGGTCACCTAGTTTGCAAAATTCATTTTTTTTACATTTACATGTTTTTATACATAAACATGTGTCCCCTCTGTGTAAAGCCATTCTGAAAGTTTCCGGAAAAAAGATTCACTCAGTTTTGTCCTGATCCATTTATATAAAAACCTGTCCGATCAGATTTTGGCCACTTTATGATGTCATAACGATTTTTTTTGGCTTATGTAACCATTAGCCACCCACCAACCAAAGTACCCCCCCCCCCCCCCCCCCCACCTTATCACCTGAATCTCCTCCTAGAGCACCATTGAGTTCTTTGTAACCAAATGTCTCTCAGAGGGGCGTGGGGAGGGGCTCCTTATTTTCATCTAAAGTAACAGATAGAGAATCAGCACTTTGGAAACAGGGCTGAAACAGAGGGGATTATGGGATGCTGCTTGGTGTTTCAGCCAAACACCTCAGAGACATGTTTTGTATATATCTGAGACCTATAATATATTGATGAAAAACTGTATAATAGGGGAACTTTAAAAATAATATTTAATGCAATATAACAGAATCAAACTTCAATTAAACCTAAGAGGGCAGTACATATGTGGCCCATTTAAATTAAAGATGTCAACACTCTTTATACACACTGAAAACGCAATAAAACACAAACCAGCAACATATTATACGACACATGTTATAACACAGTAAAACAAACAGGAAGTTGACAAACATGAATTAAATCTCTTTAAGCAATTCTAAAAAACTGTGTTTTTAAAACTGATTTAAAGGACAATAAGCAGAAAATACATCATTTGACTAGAAAGCGTCTTTGGGATTAAGTACTTCACATGATTTAAATGAAATTGTTGTTACCATGTTCCTGTTTATTTTAGAAAATAAAGAATACTCATTAAAAAGCCCGATCAGTTTAGGTCGGGTGCGCTGGCCCTTTAAGAAGGTAGGATGGTAAAGTTGCACAAAATCAACCACAAGCGAAGCGGAAGCCGGGTAAGAGTGCCTTCAAAATAATATTACACAATAGAAAAATCAAATGAGCATTTTTAGTGTAAGACTACTTTTCAACCATATGTATAATAATCACCATATTACTTTCATTGAGTAATATAACGCATTGCTGCCTGTGTGAAGGAAAGACCACATTAATGATGAGGGTCTTGATATGTAAATGATAGTCTTTCTAAACATTATTTACTGAACAATAAGTGAACACAATTGTAACCTGGGCCTGTTTGGAATTTAGAGACAACACATAATTGTAACCTTCATACTGTGAGAATAATATATATCTAGCAGAGTAGGCCTATCCATTGCATTGTTACACACAACACATAAACTGACTGTTATGTGTATGAAAAGGTTGTGATAGTGACTACATGGGGAATTACATAACAGTGTTTCAATTTAACAAATTGAGTTGATGAACTGTATTTACATCGTACAAAACAGAGCGTTGCAAACACGTAGCAAAATAAAACGAGGGTTTAGCTACGTCGTTTTATTTTGAAAGCTCAACCGGAACTTCATTATCTTACTATCGCTTGTTTCATCGCAGTGTTGTGGCTGCAGGACCGTGCTGGTTGTGATGAGGCTGTAGTAATTCATTCCTAGCGGAGCAGAGGAGCGGACATAGCGGCTACAGAGGACACATGGAGCCCTGTGTCTAACACATTGGACTGTTCCTCCCACTGCGAGGACTTCCTGCGCTTTGGGACTAACTCTCTGTCAGGGGAAGCCTTTCTGAGTGTTTCTCCTCTCTGTGACGGGAGAGAACTGGACTGAGTGACCGGGTGCCTCTGCCGCCTCTCCTCCCATCACCTGCGGCTCGCTTTGTAAGGACAGTCCGCTGTTTCCGTCGCAGAGTTTTGGAGTGTTATCAAAAGTTACTATGTTTGAACTTCTCATTTAATTCCATCCGGCTGAGATGCTGCCTGTGGAGTGTGAAGCTGTTTGCATCCTATATACCTGACCTCCTTGGCAGTGGCACGCCTGTTTGGATTTATCTCAGCTGCTGGACAGCCTGTCTGACTGCTTTTCCTGGAGACTGTGACCCACCTTTTCCACCTATGAAACATCTGAGAGGATAATGGAGTACCACCACACTTTGGTTCACCTACTGGCTTTATTTGCATTTATAACTTTGGCACATGGTAAGTTTAAATTGGCATGGCTGGCTGGTTGTGTGTGGGTTATGTGTGCACAGATGGAGTTGATATGATCCAAATCAGTGGCTCCAAACTAGGTCTGTCTCTCCAGGGCAGAAGACATGAATTCACTTGTACATTCACTCATCCACCCGTTTCCTTACACCAATATGTGGATCCAAAATGTACTACACCCTGTGTCTGATGTTGTGGGAAAAACGAGTAATCCTCCTGCATGATGTGATTAAAATGCCACTTAGACCAGCAGACACAAGAGTAGCCCATATGCAGCTTTACTGTGTGTCTTGCCCAAGGGACCTTGGTTTCACACCAGCATCTGCTCCCCACAGCAATCTGACTTTACTGTGACTCTAGCCTGCTCGTTTATCTCTATTATCAGGCCTATTAGCGGGAGACATATCCTGGGCACAGGGCACTTGGGGAAACAGAAGCAGTGTGATGCAGTTCCTATTTACTGATGCAGTGTGCTTTAAGTGAGCATGTCAGAGTTAGGGGTGTATTTCCCCCTGTGGGCAGCAGTGCTTAAACATTTATGATTTGTTTTTTTCCTTTTACTTTAACGCGTATTGGATAAAAGCCTTCTCCAGATGCTGCATTTCCTTCTATGTCCATCCCATTGTGCTCTTGTGTTGTATTGTGTAGATTCTGTAGTGACAGTGAATGCAGAGCAGATGGATACAAATGAAGGACACAGCTTAGTTTCCACTTTCCACTGAATCCATATTTGCATGTGTCCAAAGCAGCATATTGGCCTTGTTGTTGCATTTCTTTTTTAAATAACTCTATATTCAACGACATGCATACAGTGCTGCTAATTGTGGTCCCCCTCACAATGAACTATGTCTAGAGAAAGCTGCAGCATCATTGCCGGCACCCCATGAGCCAGATCATGACTCTCACTGCTAGACTGAGTCATCTCCAGGTCCTCCATCACAGATGTATAACCTGTAAATCACTATATGCTCTTTGTCAGCATCCTCGGGCCCACAGACACCACCCAATGTGATGTACAAAAGCATTTGTTCCCGTTGCTTGTAGGATGTTATGGTTTGTGACAGCGTGGTGTCTGTGGGCCCGACCCACTGCTGAGGCTCCCTTTACAAGGCTGTCAACATTGGCTATGAACCTCAGAGCATGCGAAGTCAGCATCTGTGAAAGTGCTCCTTCAGTGACTCCAGATGCTCCTAAGGGACCACTAAGGGCTTCTTATTTCACTTCAACAAAACTCACTGAACAAAAAGCTTCGACTGTTTTTAGCCTTGTTTTTTTATTCATTGAAATGCACATTTGAAGAAGCATTCATCTCACATCGTGACTCTGAGCTTCAAGGTACACTGACACATCTGAAACATTGACTTGAATTACATGTATCATGTCAGCAGATTTCACATAACTATTCTAGGTGAGTTGATAGCAATACTATTACGTTTAAATACACACATATTAGGTTGAACTATTGCTTTCAACTAACCTAATACAGTTATGTGACATTTGTTGAGATAATACACTTCATTAAAGTCCACTTATTAGTTTTTTCAGTGTGATTAGGAAAACATATCTGAAGGGCCCCTTCACGAGGGGCCAGAGTCACATTACAGGGTTCTGACTGTTTGGCCAGTAAGGAGACACAGCAGTGTGCACTGTGACTGTCAGTCAACTCCGTCACCATCAGTCAACACAGCGTCTCCGTCAGCTCTCCCCAAAGACCATGTGTTTGCCATGCTCCGATTGAAGCCATTGGGTGTGGGGGTGTGGGGGGGGGGAAGACAGCTACCTTGTTGTCTCGACTGTCCCCAAACAGACCAGTTACAGAGCAAATAGCCCGTGCCAAACCTTGATAGTACTCACACTGTTTACCGCCTGAGCATGTTCTGCACTTCCTTTAAGGAGGGGAGTGGTGGGGAGATAACACGACGTCTCATTGTTCAAAGCGCTGTCTCCTGAAGTTGTGTGTTTTCACTTGAGACACGCTGTCGTCCTCGGAGTAGAGGGCTTGAATGGATTGGTCAAGGACAGTTTGACAGGAGTTAAAGTGTTTGTGATTAAATACTCCTACAAATAATTCCCAGCAAAGTCAGATCTGTGGTCTTTGCCCAGGTTTGGAGGAACCTGCTTCAAACCCAATTTAGTGGAGATGAATGGAATTTGGTTACAAATCTGCAGAATTGATTTCAAAGAATCAAATGGTGTGTTCCAATGCCAACAATACCCTTATATTTAGTATGCCAGATTACGTTTATTCTGGTTTGTTTTGTGTTCGCAGCTTTTATGTGATTTTATACTTCTTTGTATGTTTTGTGAGCTGAGCTGTGTGATTTGATGTTATGTATCTCTCTGTACAGCACTTTGGTCTGGAGGTTTTAAAGTGCTATATAAATAAAGGTGGATTGGATTGGATTTCATGTGTAAAGGTGTGGACAGCCAGTTCTGCAAACTAAGGATTATTATTATTATTATTATGGGTTAATCATTCTGTTGTTATCCTTTGTATACACAGTAGTAAAGACAGGAGGTCAAGAACCAAAAGTCTGTGATTCATAATTCAAGAATAAGAGGCTTGAACATGGACATGTTCTGCCACTTTAAATTATGAATCAAGAGCAGGACATAGAAACAAATATATAAATCCAAACTATCTGCATGGCTAGATATCCCTATGGGTGAGCAAAGTGTCAGTCACCAAGCATACTTCACAACCCATTCCTTACACCAGTGTTTAAATACATCTTGTGATTTTACTGCTCATCATTTAAAAGCCTTCACTGTGAAAAGACAGAACCAGTTTATCAGATATTATTAATTACAAAGATATTATTAATTTCAAATTAAATGAATTACGATCTGGTTTATGTTACATTCACAGTTTGCACCTGAATGCCTCAGTGAGGGGCACTAACAGTCTCAGTGAGCCTTGTAGGCATTACCATGTTGTTGATGTCAGTGACTTGCAGCAGTGTAGTCACTAGTCATTACAGCGCAGAGAGGCGACATACAGTAACTCTGTGTTTGGCACTTTGACAACATGTCTGTTTTTATCTGGAGACAGTCAGAGCCTTGTAGTCATTTTAAAGAGCTAACACACTCTCAGTCAGTGTACCTTGCTCCTCCCCCACCTGCCTCCCATCTGTTCCCCACATATCAATTAGCCCTTCAATAGCCCAGCAAGCACCGGTACGATGCATGACAATTGAGCCATATCTCCTGAAAATCGTTGAAGTACAATTGAATCCTAATTCACGCTCACTGAGTAATGACAGTCCAAACGCCGGCCTGGAACCAAACATCCTCTTCCTGTCATCACTGACTCCACTGCGTTAATCAGGCTCTCAAACTGCTGTTTGAAGCTTGGTTGCCTATTTCCGGCTTTTTACAAAGCTCTTTGCTAAATTTAGAAATAAGAAATAAATAATAATGAAAATAAGCAATCAAAAAGCTCGGGTTCAGCTGTATTTTTGTAAGCTCATTATGTTTACCTTTGATAATAGAATTTCATAATCCCAAATATTCATTACACAACACTTTATTGACGTCTCAGGATGCATTATTAACAAGTTATTTGTGCATTTGACTAGTAAGTGATAAAAAATGCATAATCTATTTGCAACTATAACCGCAGGGTTAGATCACCTCTCCTAATAGTTCATACTGTATCTATCCTTCTACAAACGCCAGAAGAGAAATGGAATAAAGCGGGTGGAGCTCTTTAACAGTGCTGCTGACAGGATAAGTCAGCTATCTCCCTAAAGTCTCAAGTGCCGCCGGCTAAGGCCCCTGACACTGCCTGAACGGCCCACCTCGGGCGTCAGACAGATGGATGGCCCCCAGCATTAGTTCCACTGGTTTTAGGAGGGCTGCCCTCTATATTGAGGGGGTAACACTGAATCAGACATGGTGCCGTCCCACTGTAATGAAGTGTGGTCAGACTGAGGGCGGGGCTATTGTTGCGCTGCGTTACAGAGTCAGATAATACTGTTACTAATTTGACAATAGAGGTGTTGTTTTGTGTTGTATGCACTGAATCAAACCTGATTAGAGTGATTGAACCAAAAGTGACACGCATTCATTCATATACTGTGGCAAAATGTCCTCATCAAACACAGGCTGCATCAATCTGCTTACTTTTGTCTTCAGAGCTTCTAAAGTGTCCTTTGTTTGTTTATGTACATGTGTAAGACAGAGTGTGAATGTAAAATGTGTGTAATGATATGATATCACACAAGGAGTATGACCCACACACACTATTGACATTCTACCACATAATATGAGCACTTCATGTTGGAATACTGGTTGCATTGGCGGACAATTAAGTCAGAGGTTAACAAGACACAAATAAAACTGTATCAAATAAATATAGCTTACAACATGAAGAAGGGCAGTATATATGTTGGCTTGGATGCGGAATCCAGGATAAAGAAAGCCTTAACATCGCATGATGAATGGCATGCAAAGCCTAAAGGCTGTAAGTGCACAGTTAAAACTGAAGGCAATTCATATCTTCTGCATTTTGGCAGTTAGAGGACATTATTAAAAGGCATCTTAGTGAATGAAACTGTAAAAGTGAGGAGGACAAAGACATAGGCATTCCTATCCCCAGTGGAAAGTATAGCTTTGCCTGTGGTTGTTCTTTCCAGTGCAGGGTGATTTAATAAGTCTAGCTGGCACAAATGACATAATCCAATCAGCAGTCTCTTTACACCAGTAACATCCTACCCTTTGTTACTGTAGTGTCTGACCACCCGTCTAACATGAGCTCATGGTTCTCATTAAGTGTGACTGGCAGACAGCCGGTCAGACCATCGTGTCTACAACTTTGTATTGTCCTCAGACTTTTCCGGCTTCAGTTTGAAGGCGCTGAGTCAAAGGAAAGCCCACGGGTGTATCTGCAGCTGTCACCGCCACGACTTTGTCTGCGGGTCGGATATATTCGTGAGAGTCTGGCGCGTTAAAGCTCAGCGAAGGAAAGAGCCAACTCATAACAGATCATT